TGTCTCTCTCTCTCTCTTTTTATTCCCTTTGCTTCTTTGTTTTGTTTCTTAAATTCCACATATGAGCAAAATCATATGGTATTTTTCTTTCTCTGGCTGACTTACTTCTCTTAGCATTATTCTCTAGCTGCATCCATGTCATTGTAAACAGCTAGATTTCATTCTTTTTTATAGCTTTATGGCTGAATAATATTCATATATATATATCTATATATATATCTATATATATCTCACTTCTTCTTCATCCATTCATCAATTGATAGACACTTGGGCTGCTTCCATATCTTGGCTGATGTAAATAATGCTGCTATAAACATAGGGGTGCATGTATCCCTTTGATTAGTGTTTTTGTATTCTTTGGGTAAATACCCAATAGTGTGATTGCTGGATCATAAGGTATTTCTATTTTTAACTTTTTGAGGAAACTCTGTACTGTTTTCCAGAGTGGCTGCATCAGTTTGCACTCTCACCAATAGTGCACAAAGGTTCCTTTTTCTCCACATCCCTGCTAACACCTGTTGTTTCTTGTGGTTTTGATTTTAGCCATTCTGACAGGTGTGATGGTTACCAGAGGGGTGGTGGTGAGTGGGTAAAATAGGTGATGGGGATTAGGGAGTGCATTTGTTGTGAAGAGCACTGAGTGATGTATGGAATTGTTGAATGACTGTATTGTACACCTAGATCTAATATAACACTGTATGTTAACAGTACTGGAATTAAAACTTTTAAAAATTTGAAAGCAAAACAAAACAAAAAAAGCAAGCAAAACTAATCAGTGCTGTTAGAAATGAGATTTATCATTATCCTTAGACAAAGTAGTACTGGGAGTGGTTACCTTGGAAAGCTTCAAGGGTGCTGGTACTGTTCTGTTCCTTGATTTGGGTGCTAATTGCACAGGTGTGTTCACTTTGAGAAAATACATGAAGCAATTTGTGCACTTTTCTGTATGTATGTTATATTTCAATAAAAATTAAGTTTATCAAACATCAAACTCTGCAGTATCTTCCATTCTTTTAGCAGAGTCTCATAAACTTGGCTGATCATGAAAATCATTTCAAGCATAAATTTCCAGTCCTGATCTCAGACCACCTGAATCAGGGTTGCTGGAGGTAGGCAAGTGCTGGGAATCAGCATTTTACCAACAATTTTCTAAGGATATTCTGTTTTTAAAAACCACTTTATTAAGGTATAATTGACATATAAAAACTACATATTTATTGTATACAACTCGAGGACTTTGAGGATAACTATACACCTGTGAAACCATCAACACCATCAAGGCCATAGGCATATCCATCACCTCCCAAAGTTTCTTCTCATACCTGTATTATTATTATTATTATTACTACTACTACTATTTTGTGTGTGTGTGTGTGTGTGTGTGTGTGGTAAGAACACTTAACATAAGATCTACCCTTTTAGAAAAATTTTAAGTGTACAGAAAGACAAATACTGCATGGTCTTAATTATATGTGGAAGCTAAAGTAGTCAAACTCACAGAAGCAGAGAGTACAATGCTGATTGTCCGGGGCTAGAGAGAGGGAGAAATGGGGAGATGATGGTGAAAGGGTACAAAGTTTGCAGGATACTGTTGGTATGAGGCAAGTTTCAGAAAACTTTTTCTATAACATTTAAGAGCATATTGGTTAACTGAAATTTTCTTATTTGTTCCGCAGTGCCCAGCTCAGATGTCTAGCGACCCAATCCTTTGTAGGCATAGACTATCTAGAAAGTCCGTTAGAGAGCTTTGATTTTAGTCTTCTCCTTTTACAGAGTATAAATGAAGACTCAAATTAGTTTTAGTTTTTAACTTACCCAATATTATAATAAGAATGTCAAAAAGCCATAAGATATAGCAAGAAGATATCTGATCATGGCTATGTATTTGAAAGGATAAGAGAGAGATACAACTTATGAATACATATGCCTCTGGAAATACCTATGTCAGGGAAAGTAATGTCTTCTTCCAATATATAAAACAGGTCAATGGTTGGGGAGGAATTTTCAAATACCTTGGGAAAGAGAAATAATCAAAATGACTATAAAGCCAAATGGTTAACATTAGTATGATAAAGGACTGATAGAACTGGTTGAGATAAATTCATACCATCAATTAACCATAAAATGAGATTCCCATAAAATTAATAGGATATATGTGAAAGAAAGAAGTCATGCAAAATGAAGTGAATGATGCCATCATTTCCAAACATCAATTAATTTCCTAAAAGATTGGAAAGTTGGAAGAGGAGTATGGAGGTTAAGCAAATTCTTGTTCTTAGAGGAATTACAAATATAGGAGAAATTATTGATGGCATATAAGCCCTGTTCATATTTCAAGATTTCCAAAGGGTGTGTGTGTGTGTTATTTAATGTGGGTGTGGGGTGGCTAATGTAAAGATTATTCTTAAAGAAAGAGTAAAATTAAAGTCTCTAAGGAGAAAATAGATCTCTTCTGTAGAAACAAATAATGAGGGATATGGGAAAGCCACAGATGAAGAAAGAAATAACGTATATGGTAAAAATAATGTATTATCTATAGACCTAGAGCTGTAATTTTCAAAATTTATTATGTATCAGATTCACCAGGCCCTAAGGAGCTTGTGAAAATAAAGATTCCTGTGCCCCTTTCCAAAGGATAATGACCTAGCAGATCTATGTAGGGCTCAGGAGATTTCATTTTAACCAAAACAACTCCTTACATACACACATGCATATCACACCAAGGAGTTTCTGATACACACTAAAGTTTAAGAACCACTAAACCATGCTATATCTCCAAAAGCCTCTGTGTCCACTTCTTCCATATTCAAAGTCCTGGGAAGGCTGAGTCAAGTCATGTGTCTATATCCTAGCTGTCAGGAGCAGAAAGTAGGAATGTTTGGTCCCTTTTGGCCTCTGTAGTGAGAGGCAGGGCACTTTCTAATACACAATGGACAATGCTAAGGGGGTTCAGATGCTATGAAACCATAAAAAGACTGGCAAATATCTACTATAAAACATCACTTGTGAAATCTTGATCAAGTCGTTGAAGAGAAGAATTCCTAGGTTGGGTGGCCTCACTGCTGAGCCATTTTGAGATTAGTAAGTATTTCAAGATCAATAAACCAGCAATTGATATGAATTTTACAGTTGAGGACACTGACTCAGAGAAGTTAGCATGAGTCACTGAAGGTCATATAACTAGAAAGTGGAAGAAGTAAGATTAGCCAGACTCTGTGGGTAAGGTAGGATTTTGGTTGGACCTCAGAGGAGAGGGTTGATTGGGACTAACAAAGGAAGAGATGGAATGGGAGTGAAGAGAGAAGTCCAGCCCTGGGACACTTCATGAGAAGAAAGATGAGGTAGGACTAATAAGATATTTTCATGGAAAAATGAATAGTCCACTTCAGCTTGATTGTAAGGCTTATATAGAAAAAAAGTATAGGGGAGATAAAAGGTACATAGAAGTCAGGTCTTAGAGGACCTTTGTTGAATGTTTTAGGAAGACTAATCTGGGCACAATGTATCAGATGGCTTGAAACCTGGATGTAGGGTTACCATCAAAGTAGAAAAAACAAAACAGGGCGCCTGGGTGGCTCAGTTGGTTAAGCGACTGCCTTCGGCTCAGGTCATGATCCTGGAGTCCCGGGATCGAGTCCTGCATCGGGCTCCCTGCTCGGCAGGGAGTCTGCTTCTCCCTCTGATCCTCCTCCCTCTCATTCTCTGTCTCTCATTCTCTCTGTCTCAAATAAATAAATAAAATCTTAAAAAAAAAAAAAAGAAAAAACAAAACAAAAACAAAAGCCATAGTGTATAAAGCCAAAGTTCTAGAGTCAGAAGGTCTTCAGGCAAGTTACTTAATTTCTCTCTGCCTCATATTTTCCACATCTGTAAGGTAAGATTAATAATAATATTTACCTCAGGGACACCTGGGTGGCTCAGTCAGTTAAGCATCTGCCTGCAGCTCAGGTCATGATCCTGGGGTCCTGGGATCAAGTCTCCCATTGGGCTCCCTGCTCAGCGGGGAGCCTGCTTCTCCCTCTGCCCCTCCCCCTGCTTGTGCTTGCTCTCTATTTCTTTCTCTCTCTCTGAAACATAAATAAATAAAATCTTTAAAAATAATAATAATATTTACCTTGTAGAGTTGTAGTGAGAATTAACTGAGATAATGGAAGTAATGCCCTAATGAGAGTATTAGTTGGAGTGCTAGGGGAAAAACAGGTGACATACTCATATCAGGTAATTTAAGAGAATTTAATAAAGAGACTATTAACAATTATGTGGGTTAGGTGTAGGGAAGACACAAGGAATGGTAAAGTAACTGGGGATAAATAAAAGTTAGGTTATTGCCACTCTTAATATTATAGTAGGGAGAAGAGAAAGAAGTGGGAGAAGTTAGTTGATGAGAGAGAGGGATGTTGAGAGGGTCATCTATCAGGTACTGTGAACTTAACTATCCCACTGTGACCTTGCACAGAAGGAGCTGAGTGAATAAATACCCTGACCTCAATCTCCTTCCTCTCTCAGATCTCCTGCCAGGGCTTCTCAATGGTGGAACCCAACAGAAAACCAAAACAGAAAAAATTCCATTAATGATCTCAGTACAGGTCAATTTCCCCCTCAGACACAAAGCATGGGGAAGAATGGGGAGGGACAAAGTGTAAAACTGGAAGAACAGTAAGTGCCAAATAACCAGTGGTAGTGTGATTTAGATTCAGTCCCTGAAAAGCCCCTAGCCTTCTAGCTTGTTGGGGTCATTGTGCCTTCTAAGATTTAAGAGATCCTGGGAAAGGTTTGATGCTTATGTTTCTTCTGGTCGCCAATGTCTGTGAGTTTCTGCTTCTTTTTCTCTTCTCATGCCTCCTGGGTATGTGGTTCTTTTTCTGTACTATATTGCCTCCTTGCTCATTCCTTGATTCCTTCACTTTCCCATACACTACCAATAGCTGTGTGCTTTCAGATCTTACTGAAGGACCAAATATTTGTAAACAAGTTAAAATTAATTATTAAATATCTCTCACCTTAAAAGTTCCTTAACCATTTTGCTAGGGCTTGAGTTTTCTTGATGCTGCTAAATTCTTCTCTCTCTTTCAGTCTTCTCCCTACTTTTCCTCAGATCTTGAATATCCAAATCATGCCGTTACTGGTAATTTCTCAAGCAGAACAGTTTAGCTCCAGGTCCATTCTAACCATGTCCCAAGAATAATATTTGAGTAATCAAAATGATCCATCAAGGTTTTTGCTAAAACAAACACAGATCTCTTCCCTTAAGAGGAAATTTGCGGTTAGTTAGCTCTTAAACTAACACTTTTATTTTTTCCTCATTAGTTTGTTCAGTTGTTTTTCAGGCATGAATTGATGAGCACCTGGTCTGATAGAGTAGTAAGAAGATTGAAAACAAAGGGACAGATGTGAAGTACATTAGATGAGAAAAATAAATCAATAAACCATAATGGCTAAGTAGATATGGATAAGAGCCCCTGAGAAAGAAGAGGGCCATGCTACAACAAGGTTTGCAGCCTCCGTGACAGAGAACCTTGATGCTTTAGGCTTAGCTTTGCTGCAGGCTGCATGAGAGCCGTGCCATCTTTTTCTCCAGCAAAATAATTAAATAATTCGGTCACCATGAAACATTGTGTTTTCTCTCACGCACAGTCTTTCTCAATCTCTCTCTCTTCTCTCTCTCATTCTGTGTGTGTGTGTGTGTGTGTGTGTGTGTGTGTGTGTGTGTGTGAACTCAGTGTGTTTAGGGTGAAATGAGGAAATTCTAGTCAGGTGAGTCCTAAAAATAAGACCTGCCTATCCTTTGCCTTGCTAAAACCTGTACTGTGTTCATGCTCTACTCTTGTTGGAAGGAGATTATCAGGCTGATTTCTGATGTCTCACAAACACAGATGGAAGTTGTATGACCTCACCTTTTCCATTCATTGAGAGTAAGGTAGTTTCCATCCCAGGCTAGGCCTCATACTTTCATCTCCTCTTCAACTTTCCCGCTTTTCCTTTTTTCCAGTTGTCCTGTCCCCCAGTTTGCTGTCCTCCAGAAGCCAGAGGAGGGGGTCTGGGTCATAGCCATAACTGCTTTAATCCACATCTATCACCCATAAATTACACTAAACCATATTCCTTCAGTGTTAAAAAACTGATTTTCTTATAGTTGATCCTGAAGCACTACAGGAAACTAATATTTAATGTGCCTTTTTAAACAATAACAACTGGGGAGAGAGAAAAGATGGTGGAGGAGTAGGGGACGCTATTCCAACTGGTCCCCAGAATTGAGCTGGATACCTACTAGACCACTCTGAGCACCCACGAAATCAGCCTGAGATGTAAGAAAATAGATCTGGATCTCTACAAACACAGTATCGCAGGCAGTTGGTTTTGAGGTACAAAGTGGGGAGCCGTGATTCCACAGGCAGATATTGGAGGATAAAAGGCAGTGGGAGGGAGCCTGGCCGTGGAGATCCTACACCACTGGTGAGCGATAGCCTCCCTCGCTGGGGACTGGGCACAGACTTGCAGACTGGTAGCGGCTTTAGGGCAGCCCCCAGGACAGAAACCTGGAGCTGTGGGGCTGAGCATGCGAACTGGGAGTGGCTGGCGGTTTTAGAAGCACAAAGGGCAGAGATGTGCCCCAACATGAAGTCAGGACGGGGAGCGCTGCAGAGGGGTGCACAACCCAGGACGCTGCAGCTTATAGCAGCACAGACAGAAACGGAGATAATGTGGCCTGGAGAGCTCACTGAAGAACAGACTGCGATCTCTCTGCTCTGAGGCAGAGGGTTGGAAACGGTCTCTTCTGCTCTGACTCTCAGAAGAGACACGGAAAGTCGCCAGGGAAAGCTGCCAAAGAACAAAAGCCCCCAAAAACCTGTTTCCACTCAGCCCATCTCCCGCCACAGGGGGGCAGGGCAACTCTGCCCAAACAGGGTTGCCTGAGTAACAGCG